ATTATATTCAAATTTTAAGTCTGAAAGTGCCATTTCTGGCCATCTAGAAGTGCCATAAACATAACTTGTCTTACCTCAGCCCTAACCATGGTGGGGCTGGGTGGTAGATCCGCCATTTGTGAAAGCCCCTCCCCGGGCCCCCTATATGTTTAATTCATTGTTCCGCCACTGAAAGCATTGACTCTCCTTTCCCCAAATGACTGGCAACAATTTTTGAATATTAAAAGTGGATTTGGCATTATGATTTTCAGTGTTGCGTTGGTCTAAACTGGTATTATATTTTAAAATAAAGAGTTAAGTTGACATAACGAATATGACAAAACGAATAATAACATCAGTAATAATATTTTTAATGAGTGCTACAGTAATTTAATGGATGATTAAAAACATGAACGTCACGTAAATTATCGGTCTAAAATGGAAATTGTTTATATTCTTCTTTTTTTTTTTATTAGTGTTTATCAGTTGAGACGCTATTCGAGATAATAGAAGCCAATAACAGTGAGGGATTGACGGATGCTACGTATCCAAGGGCTAGCGTGGTATTAACATACTTCCTATACAGCTTTACCGATGTTTGTCAGACTGCACCAACGGTACACAATTACACTTGGTACTTAGCGGAGGTGATGAGCGCTAGTGGGTGGAAAGCTTCCTCTAACGTGCGATATATTAATCAAGAAATAAACCCAGACAGCGAGGTGTATCTAACAGAGGATGGACTTTCATCTATTCTAAAGCTTATCAATAAAACATACGCCCCACTGTCCAAAGTCAAGGTAGGCCTATGCCAAATAACCATAGTTACATAACAAAAACACTCTCAGTTATAGATAATTGTGAATGTGTTAGACATAGAATAACTCTAGAACAGCTATTATCGTGACACCTTCGGAACCAAAATAAACTTTAACATAAATATAATATTGAAAATCCTAATAGTAGGCCTATCCGTAGTATATAGGCCTACCGCTATCCTAAAGAAGGAATTCAAACTCCAAAGGAAACATATCTCTGAAACAAAACAATTCTCTGAAAAGAACAGTGGATTAATTTGTCGTCTTTTTCAAATTAAATTTTAAAGATTACAATAAACATCACTGCTGATATTACGCACAAATATACACACACATAGGCCTTATATATATATATATATATGTTTTCTTTTGTTTTATACACATTTAGCCAAAACAGCCGTAATCAATTGTTCATTTGTTGACTGTGAGCTTGGTGAAATACTGTAAATAAAATCTACTGATGTTACCATATAACTGTCTGTATAACTATTTTGATGTACCCTTCAATTACCTGAAAATATTTGCATATTACAAAAGACAATACAAAATAAAATATGGAATGATTTTAACTAGAAACTTGTTTCCCTTTCTAAACCTAAAATGTACAGAATGAAATACAAGATAAAGCCGTTTTATCAGGTATAAATATTACACATGTACCCTCTTCATTATCTTATGTAATTATTTACAAACGTATTAACCAGCCTCAGATTGTGGTTTCATCAAGTAGAGTGAAGCGGTACAGAGCCAGTGACATGGACGCGGCTAATGTTATAGGGGCTGATACTGTAGCTGTATAATATAAATATAATGATACATGTACAATATATATTCATATCCTTTATAATTATCATAAATAGAATAATATTGATAATTTAAAGAAATGAATATATCTTCTCTAAATAAAAATGATAAATAAAAAGATATAGTTTTTATGACGTGTATGCCCTATGTTATCGAGTTACAGTTAACTCTGTAAGATGGAGTGAATCCTGTATGGTGGAATGATGGGATGAGGTAGGAGCTAAAGATAAAAATGAATATTTAAAGACCTATCCTAGAAATTTCACTAAACAACACCACACATTTCCTGATAACCGAATCCCGAGGTGGATACTTTATTAGTAAACATAATACCTGTACGGTAAGGCATAGGGCATGGACACACAGGCTCCCACTGGGAGCCTATTTTTAATTATTGGACCATTCCACAGTTCCAAGAAATGATAATGCGGGCAGACGAACGAAAGAATGAATGAATGAATAAAGAACGACTATTTTTAAATTACAGTATCATCTCTCCACAGTGTTTCTATGCCAACACGTTATTCCAAGACGCAGCTGTAGACGTCAATCCAGGTGCTGACGAGAGTCAAACACAATCAATATGTGCACACATGATTTCAAACTTACTTCAAGGCGACTTAATTGGGGAGTCTATGTATATTAAACCCAATGCGTTTATAGATGAAATTTACAGTGACTATGGAGAAGGAGAAAAAATAACACCTGAAGGTCAGGACCTTACATGTATATTAATTTATGATTTTCCAACTGTATATATACTGTCTCTTATACACATCTAGATGTGTATAAGAGACAGATCTAACAGAGGA